TAATAACATGATTGAATGTTAGTAAGCTGACTGTAACTTGTTGGCAGAAATTCTTTCATAATGACAATGGCTTGTGCATCTGAGTCCTTGCTGGGCTCTGTTAATTAAACAAGAAGGTTGGATATTATATGTTTCCAACCCTCATGAACAACACTTCTTAATTATTGTGGGAATTGAAGGCAATGTGCTGTCTTGCAAATTTGTTTCCTTGTGGGAACCTGTCACTTTTCTTGGGGGAAGGAATCCCTGTTTGCCATTTATAATGGCATTCAGGGACCACTTTGCAATATGTGCACCTTACAGTCATCACCAGTGTAAAGAGCCTATTAGGGTTCATCTTTGTTCTCATTATAGATAATATCTGAGCTTTTTAATGAAACATTCCACATATAATTATCAGCAAAGAATGAAATAATGCCACCAATGTCAGTGACCCTAAGAAAGATACAGAGAGCCAGATACTGCTAGATTGATAAATATCATTTTTCTTTTACCTAATATTGATCTGTAAGGCCCCATGCCCTGCATGACTGAAAATGCGTATAAGGCAGACAGTCAAAAACATAAAAGAGGAGCAGCAGAAAGGACAGCTATAGCTCCGATAATTCTTAGGAGTAGGACAGATTAGCCATATTCTCCAAAGATCTAGGGGAACTAATTAATATATTAGATACTTCCTATGGCCCACTTCATATCCTCAGCTCACTTTTTTACTTTGGCCATGCCTGTGGAAAAAACTTAGGGCAGGTGTGACCTGAAGCCTCTTGCCGAGCAGCATTGGGTATCCCCATTTTCTGCTCCAGAGCTTCTCCGACACCTAGGTGGGGGACTGGCACCCTGGACGAGCAAGAACACCATGAACCATGGCATAACCGCTGCCCGGTAGGGGTGGGAAGTGGTAAATAAATACCCTCCTCCTCCACGTCTTGTTCAAATAATTTTGAAGCACATTCTACATGTACATATGAAGTACATAAGGTTTCTCAGAGAGTTCCAAAAAGATTGAGCCCCAGTTGCCCATAGTAGTGATCAGCTTGAGAATACATCCTTATATTGTATTTCTTGCCATAGAGGATGCTGTCGATGCCCCACCAAGATCAACTTCACTAGGTCAGCACACCCATACCCCAGCTGCTTAAAGTGTTGCATGCTAAAGTCTCACAAATGAATGCTTCTCAAGAGAATTACCCTCTACTGAGAGGAGCCACTTTCTCCACTTTTGACTAAGGACATTCATAGTCAATGACTAGCTGAAGGTGTCAAGGTGGGACTCCTCTATGGTGCCATTCATATTCCAGAACTCCTCGTGGGATCGGGTTGAAGCTAGACTTCAGGTGAAGCCATGGATTTTCCTGTTTTCTTCTTTGGTCCACCCTGCTCCCTCATTTCTTCACAGCTTTCTCTTGAGGGCACACGTTCAATCAATTACTTGCACAAGAATGCCCATCTCAGTCTCTGCTTCTGGGGAGCCTAATTTAACATGCCCTTCTTTCTTTCTCTCTCTCACTAGTACCCTAAACTTGTTGTCTAGGGTCCTTTCCTAAAATATGTGCTTTTAAACCTTGTCTTAGGCTCTGTTTTCCAGGGTCAGGTGTTGTAGTAGGGTCGGGAACCCTGTCTGCAGCAAATGATATCCATATGTTTTATTCACTCTGCTGGATTAAGCACCATAAGGTTATACAAAAGTGAGTTATTCAGACAATAAATGTAGAAGTTGAGAAACCTATTATGTGGGGCTAAAGAATATCTATAACTTGGTGGAACAAGCATATTTCTGAGAGAAACATTTGAAAGGCAGAGGGAGGGTGGAATGAAGTTTAGCTTGGAGAGACAGAAGGAATAAAGGTTCTGAGCACACTTGAAAATCATTAGTTCAAGGGACCCTGACATTACCACGCCTGAGGGGATATAGGCTTTATGCTGAAGGGGATGGATATGACCAGAATGTGCTTTCATTTACTTGCTCCATAAGTATCTTTTCAATAACTACCACTTCCAGACATCATCGTGGGTGCTGGAAGTTTAAGCAAAATAGAAGTTGTCCCTGCTCTGAAAGAACTTTCAGAATAGTAAATACATAAATAAACAGAAAAACACATTTGGTTACAAGTTTTTTTCTAAGGTTCCAAAGGAAATGAAGAGGGTGTAATGTCAGAAAATAACAAAGGTCACATACAGGGTTCAGTAAAAGTAGGTTTACAGTTGTGAGCACACAAAACAGAGCTTATTTTGCATTTTTATTTATTAATTATTTTATTATTTATTTGTATTATGACTGTAAACCTACTTTTGCCCACCCCTGTATGTTAGATCGGGTAGACCAGGAAGTCTTCTCTGAGAAGTTGATGTTTAAGCAGAGCCCTAAAGAATAGAAAGAAGTCAGCCTTGCAGAGGAGGGTGGTGCAAGGAGGAACAAGTCAGCTACAGTGATGCAAAGGTCCTGAGGCAAGAAATACCTCAATGTATTAGAAGTACAAAAAAAGGCCAGTGTGCCTATACAGTACTGGATGAGAAGGGAGTGCGCAAGGCAGGTAGGAATGAGCAGGATTTTAGAGGGCATCGAATGCTATTTTATTCTGAATGTGATATATGGAAATGAAATGGAATGGAGTGGAAAGCAATTGAAAGGCTTTAAGGACAGAAGGGATAGTTTCCAATTTATATTTAAAATATTACTCTGTTGTGTGGAAAATAGGTTGGGGGTGGAGAGAGAAGAATAGATGAGGGGAGAGCAATAGACAAGCTGGTGCAATAGTCCATATGAAAAATGGTGATCACTAGTCTAGAGTAGAGCTAATGGAAGTGAAGTAGAATATACTAAAACATAATTCAAGACCGCAGAGACTCAATCTCTTGATCACTGTTTTACCCAGGCCTGCACCTGAGGCTTGTGGGGCTCAGGGCAGGGACACAAATGGAGGATGCACACCACCTATCTAAACATTTAGAAGTTATAAATCCAGCTAATAAACTGTTAAAAATGTTTTTTATCCTTCTATCATGACAATATAACATTTTAATAACAAAATGTAAAAGTGTAGGTAGAGCTATGATTTTTAAATGACTGAAAATTGGCAAAATATCAAAGACAACCAAATTTGATTATTACTGCACAAGTTCTATTATTTGGCTTATGATAGTTGGATGATTTTTTAAAAGACAGAAATAATTCATAGATTATTACATATTTATTCCAAATAAGTTATTTCGTTAATCTTAACTTTAGTAAAATAATTAATGTTATAATCAACTTTTTAAAAACGTAATTTGTTTCTATAGACAGTAATAATCTAAGGTTTTGGGGTCATATCTAGCCACACACATTTCTTCACATGTTATCTGTAGTTCCTTTTGTCCTACAGGGCAGAAGTAAACAGTTGCAACAGCTCAAAGTGTTTACTCTCTGGTCCTTTACAGAAAAAGTTTGCTGACTCCTGATCTAAAGAATTAAAAACTAAACTGCACTTTTATATTCACAGTGTGTAAAATTTGAATATAGTTTCATTAAGCATATAAATTACAAAAATTAGAAAAGTTAAAATTAAGTTTTGAGTGTTTCAAAAAAGTTATAATTTTTATAAAAATTCAAAATTATTTATTAGAATTAAAAGTCAAAATGCAGAATATATTAACCAATATAAAAATTTTTAAGTCAATTAAAATGCTGAATTTAATTTTTTCATTTTTTCACATTTTAATTAAATCTTATTAATATTTTTATGAAGATAAAATGATTTCCAGTTTTGTGCTTAATGTCTGTTTACCAATATAAAGAATTGATATCTGATTTTATACAAGTTAATGTTGTGACCTACCTGTGTTTAGATTTTAGGAGAGCATGTATTATTTAATATTGAAAAATGTGCCTAAGACATTATGTGCAAAAGTTGTGAACGCTGCTGGAATTTGTGAGACCTCTGAAACTATGAAATGGCACCAGAAGATTCTGATGAAAGGAAATAGATGTGCAGCATATAGGTTTTTTTTGTTTGTTTTTGTTTTTTGTTTTGTTTTGTTTTGTTTTTGCGAGAATCTGTTGCACTCATGCTGTTTGAGAGGGAGGATCTGACAAATTATTTTGTCCATCTCTCACTTAAGCCCTTGCACTGCCCACACCGCAGAACAGTGTGCATCTCTGTTGTCTACAGTTTTGCAGTTGCATGACCCACAATCCACAACCCTTCCTGACTTTCAGACTCAGCCACCTTTTTTTCAGTGAAACCGAGCCTTTCAGAAAGGTAGAGAAACATTTTCCCAGGGTGAGGATGATATTAGGCACAAGAATAGAAGTTACTGGCTGTATTATACAGAAGCCACACACCACATCCTGAGTAACAGGCTTGGATGTGTTTTCTGATCAGTTTTGGTGGGATATATCTGAGATATGGAAGCCTCTCGAAAGTGTGGGGGTTAGGATGTATACAATGATAGAGTAATGCAATACACAAAGTGAAAACTATAGAAATGCAAGGAGAAATAAACAGAAACATAATAATGGATTTTAATTTCTGAATCTATGGAAAATCAAGTAGATAAAAATAATGTAAATAAAATAATTAATAAAGATGAACTAAATAATACTATCTAAATTTAGACCCTAACAATAGAGAATATATCTTCTTTTTATGGATCCTAGGAAAATTTGCAGTATATGTTCTTAATAGGTTACAAAGAAATTGCAGGAAATTTCAAGGTTGAAATAGTAAAATCTTCATCTTCTGATTACTATGCAATAAACTGGATATTCATTATCAAATCTTACAATCTGGACGTTTTGAAGTGCTTTGCTAAGCAACTCCGAATTTAAAGAAACATTCAAAACCCAACTTGAAAAAAATTTAGATGCCATTGATAATGAAAATATAACATGTAAACTAATGGGCTACAGCTAAAACTATGCTTAGAAGAAAATGTGTGGCCTTAAACACCCCAAAAAACAAAAACAAAAATAAATTGTCTTAGTCCACTTGTGCTGCTATAACAAAATACCATAGTCTGGGTGGCGTAAACAACAGACATTTATTTCTCACAGTTCTGGATGCTGGGAAGACCAAGATCAAAGTGCCAGCGGATTCAACATCTGGTGAGGGCCTGCTTTGTGGTTCATAGAGTTGATCTTGTGGAGTCCCCCTGCACAGAAAAAAGGGTGAGGGAGCTCTCTGGGGTCTCTTATAATGATACTAATTCCACTCAGGAGGCTCCCGCTGTCATGAAGCAATCACGTCTCAAAGTTCCCACCTCTAAACACCATCACATTGAGGATTAGGTTTCAACATATGAATATGGAGGGACACATTCAGTCCATAACATAAAGGAATTAAATATCTGACTTAAAAGAATAGCTAAATAAGTGGCAGACTTGCAGAAAGAACTAAATAACAAAGTCAAAATTAAGTTTTCTTAATTTTTTCCTTTTTGTTGATTTTTTTGGATGACACTGGTTAACAGAATTATACAGGTTTCAGGTGCACAAGTTCATAACGCATCACCTGTACACTGAATTGTGTGTTAACCAAGTCAAGTCTCCGTCTATCACCCTTTATCCTCCCTGTATCCTCTCCACCATCCCACATCCCACAATCACCGCACTGTTATCCATGTCTATGAGTTTTTTGTTTTTTTCTTTTTTGTTCAATTCCTCCACCCCCCGAAACCTGTCCCCCAACCCACTCCCCCCAACAGCTGTCAGCCTGCTCTCTATTGATGAGTCTGTCTTTATTTTGCTTATAGACCATTATGCAACGTGAAATAAGGCAGCCAGAGAAAGACAAGTACCACATGTTTTCACTCATATGTGGAATATAATGAAAAAAATGAACTAATAAGTTTTCTTATTTAAAAACAAATACAGCAAGTATGAATAAACCTAAGTGCTGTTTCTTTGAAAACAGTGCTAAACAATAAAATAATTCATTCACTAGCCTAATCAAAGAAAGGTAGGGAGCACAAAAACACAAAATTGAAAAGGGGGAAAGGAACCATGGCCAAGGAAGAAATTAAAAAAAGCAAAGGTGAACTTTTGTGAAATTTTTCGCATATAACTTCAAAAAAATCTTGATGGAATGAATTTTTCATAGGTAAATAAGTTACTCAAACTTACCCAAAAAGAATAAGAAAAACTTTAATGATACTGAAAAAATATAAGGAAATCATCAAAGATCTGCAAAAGCCCCAGGTCTTTATGCTTTCAGAGAAATTTATTTTGAACTTTTAAGGAACAGGTAATCGTAATACTATTTAAAATGAGAACTGGTAAGATTATTTTTATATCTGCAAAATGGAATGCTCTGCATTTGTTAGATAGGATGCAGAAATTCTGTATATGGCTATGTTAACAATCTCCAAAATATACTGCAGGGGCGGGAGGCAAGACGCAGAGCACTGTGTCTGTTTTACCACCGTTTGAGTCCATGTGTGTGTGCACATAGGTGTGTGTGTGTGTGCACATATTTGTTTCTGCACATTTATACTATCTATAAAAGAATATAAAAGCAACAGATAACAATAACTGCTTCTGGGGAAGAAATTAGGTAGCTAAAAGACAGGTCGGGGGTAGATACTTTTGTATTTTTTGAATTTCATAATATGTGCATATACTGCATTGTCAAAGAATTATGAAATTACACATAGCACAAAGAAGGAAATCTGCTGATGTTTTTATGAAGCAAACATCCCAGATACCAAAGTCTCATGATACCACCAAATAGAAAACTGTAAATCAATTTCAACCATAGACTTATTATGAAAACACATTAAAAGTTAGTAAACCAGAGTGGGTGGCTTAAACAACAAAGTTAATTATCTCACAGTTCTGGAGACGAGGCATCGAAGATCAAGGTGCTCACAGGTTTCCTCTGAGGATTCTGTCTTTGGCTTATAAATGACTGTCGTCTCCCCCGGCCTCACACGGCCTTCCCTCTGTACATGTCTGTGTCCTAGTCTTCTCTCCTGGTAAGGATACAAGTCGTTGACTCAGGACCCATCCCAATGACCTCATTCTAACTGAATCACCTCTTTAAAGCCCTTATCTCCAATCTCCGAGAATAGTCCTACCCTGAGGGACTGGTGGCTAGGACTTCCACAGAAGAATTCTATGCGAAGGTAGGGGGATGGCACACTTTATCCCATAACACCAGCCATGACTTCTCACTGACCTGAAAAGAATGATAAGTTACTTGTGTCCTGCTCAATTTTCTGCATTACGAACATAAAAAAAGAAAAAAATTAAACCCTCTGCTAAACTATCGATCCGCACTGTTTGTCAATTTTTTTCTAACCATTTTAGTTTTTATTGTCTTCCCCAAACCAAGAGACTCTCTGTGACTCAGGCCCTTTTGTGCCATCCAGCATCCTCTTGAGGAGAGCTGCAGCAACATGTTGCTTCCCTGCTCTTGTCCTTAAAGGGTCTTTGTACCACCCTACCCACCCCTCTTTTCCAGACTCGGTAACTTCCTCAGCTGCTAGGATCTCCCATAACATTACGAAGACTTAAAAACCCACAGGCTGGAAGATTTGCCAAGGTCATGCTAAAACAGAGGTAGTCTTCTTTTACAACTGAGGGGGACAGGACACTCATGATTTGATGACAATTTATAGCTTTGGAAACAGCAGTAAGTCAGCAAAGGCCTTTGAAACGGCAAAGAATGGATGTTTCTGGTCACTTCAGAACTGGGATGTGGGATAGGAAACTGCAGACCTTGTTTTCATTTTTAATTACCTTAATATGTGATACAAGTCAAAAGGTAGAAGAAACGTATGGAAAGCTGATTTTACTTATGCCTGAACTTCTGATAGCCTATATGTTTTAGGGACAGATAAATTTCTAGCGAAACTTCTTATAATAAAATTTTCATTGCTTTGAAAAATAATAACTTTTTTAGTTCTTCCAGGTAGATCAAGTAGACCCCGCAGTTAGAGTTACAATATCCTAAAGACTTAGCTTCTCAGTAATAATGGGTAAGAGACTTCACATTGCCATGGGCCAAAACTTTATTATTTGAAATTTAAAAAAGTTAGTAAATATAATTCATGATATGATTAAAAGAATATTAGCTTCTACCCTCACCATTATTTTTAAAAATCAATAGGTGATTTCATGGCAGGGAGATATGGGCCATTTGTTGCTTCATTGCAGTGGCAGGTGCCAGAGAACCACAAAGATCCCCCCAGGTAACATTCACCAATTTCGTGAGACTTCCTCCCTCCCTACTTTCCTTCCAGTGGCTCCACCTGCTGCCATCTTTGCAAGACCGCCTGGAGTTATTGACTTCACTATGCCCATTGCAAGTGGAAAGTTCAGCCTTTAGCCAATCATTGATTGGGGAGCCAGTGTGAAAGTCCAGGGCCATGCCCATGGGGGGAACACTCCTTTCAGAGGTCTGTACCCCAAATCCTACCCTTGTATAGCTTTTCTGCCTTCTCTGGTCCTGCTTCTTACCACTTCCTCAGCAATTTCTCTTGGGAGCCCTTCTCTACTAACTCAATAAATCACGAATCCTCTTCTTAGCATCTGAGCTGAGACTGAAGACATTTGAACTCTATTTTGAAGTTCTAGGTTTTTTAAAAGAAATTTATAAATATCCTATGTATGTATGTGTACATATGTATATAAAACAAATAATATACAGTAGAATAACTAGAATAAAATTATATTGAGACAGCAAGGAATTAAGGACTGGTTTCCTTTCTTTGGGCCTTCTTGTGTCTTATAGAAACTAGACTTTTTAATTTTTTAAAACCTGACTATAGCCTTGGCTATTCTAGTTTTAGTAAAAAAAAAAAAAATCTGCTCACCAGCTTCAGCACAACCATTCATTTTCCTGTATCTACTTAAAGTCCACTATTCAGATGCTCATAGCTAACGTATTGTGCACATTCATTCCTGACAACTTCTGGGGTTTATCTTGGTAAAACACAAACTATCAATTATCAGTGAAAAAAATTGTGTTATTGAAGGATAGCCTCTAAATGGAATTGCTAATGCCTGTGAAGAACCCCGCCTACTTTAAGAGGGTCCTGTATTATATGATTCCTTCAGAGTGGGTCTCAGTGGGCCAGTGAATTACTAAAAAGCACTTTGATCGTAGATTGCATTGGTGCCTCTGAGTCCAGATTTCATTGTCAAATGAAGCATGTCATCTGGGTGCAGCATCTTTGCATTTTTAATCATGTTTGATCTCCCAGGCTCTCATTTGCAACAGGTCTGCCGATCATCAGTGTGAACCAGCAAGGCTGTGTTGCAAATGTGTATGCTCCTCATGCACTTTATTTATTCTGGTAATTGTTGAAGCATTTATAACCCTTCTGTCTTTATCCTGAGTGTGTGCCTGCATTTAGAACCATAAATTTCTCCAGGTTTGAGTGGCTGTTAACAACATGGTTTTAATTGTAACCTACAGTGTGTGTGTGTGTGTGTGTGTGTGTGTGTGTGTGTGGATACACATCTGTATGCATGGATATTTAGTCTCACACACACAAATAGGGTAATTTATAGCATAATACACATACAGACTTGAAAAAAATTCCTGCACCTGTAACAAATAGCTGAGTCTTTTCTCTTTAGTGTAGTGCTGGGTGTTAGGGGAAAACCACGTGTAAGCTGTTTATTTCTGAAGTAGGCTGAGGAGGTCTTGTGCAGGAAGCTCCCCTGATCAGAAGCTGTTGTTTCTGCTGTTGGGACATCTCCTAGTAGCCCCTGAGATAGGTCATTCAATCTACTGTGCCTTTGTTTGAAACCAACCTGCCATCTGCAGTATCCTGGGGTCTCACTCATTAGTAAGTACTGATGGAGAGACAGCAATTTCGAGAAGAGGCACATATGCAACTGAATATAAAACAGTTTTTACAGAATAGGACCCGTGGTGGGGGGCCAGATACTATTACTGAAACAAGCCCCCTCCCTGGCGTCCTTCGTTACTATGTTTCTTTGCCCGCTGCCCTTAGTAATTGTGGCTTTGAATGTCAGAGTTTGGTAAAAAGGAGCTATTTATTCAAAGGTTATACATGTTTATAGTAATGGCAGAATGTTACCATTAAAATCCCACAGCCCCTTAAAACACCCACAAACACACGCAGTCCTGCCTTCCCCTTTGCCCACTCTGGCGTACCATACCTCAGGAAGAGAAATATAAGTCTAGCTCGTCTAGACTCCCGGATCCTCCCAGGAATCCGTGCTCCCCTGGGCGGGCCTCCCGCGGTTCCCAGCACCGTCAGCTGTCACCAGTTCTTAATCCAAAACCACGTGGCGCTTCCCCCTGGCCTGCCAGTAAGAGTCCTTTTACCCCTTTCCTTTCTGCACGGTCTCGCATTGTCCTCCCACACAGTCCTGCACTGTACTTATGCATTCTTTCAAACCGCTGAGAGCTCTGCATCGCTGCTACCTGTTGCTTTCCTGATACCTAAGCCGTGTGGTCAAGGTAGCCCCCTCTCTGCTCCCAGAACTGCATGGTTAAGCTCCAGCATGGCTGCTGTGCCTGGGTTTAAATCCTGGCATGAATCTTCCTCTGTAACCTTATTTCTGACTCCTCCCGCAATCATCTACACCTGCTAGGACGCTGGTATTTTTAGCCTGCCTTGGCTGCCACAGTTCGTCTGGGCAGGCATGGCCCCCGGGGCGTGGAGCAACCATCTCCAAGCTCCCACGTAGGTGCTGTAACCAGGGGGAACTGCCTCCCAGGTACATCCCCGGTCAAAGTCACTCCCATCTCCCTAGCTAGACTTGTTGATATGCAAAGTAACTGTTTTTGCATATTAGGTGTGAAGCTATCATGCTGTTATTGATATGCAAAATAACTCTAAATGGTCCTGCTCCATGGGTCCCTTCCCCCAGCCAGACTTGTGGGGTTGGGGGGGCCTGGGGCCCTTCTTAGCTGGCACCCCAGTTACACAGTGAATCATTACTTATATTCTGCTTCTGTTCTTTTTTATTCATGTCTTTCATATGGACGCTATTCATGGCTGATTGACTGACTGTTCTCATTCACTTTGCATTTTTAAAGGGAAGCAAAGATTTAGAAAAGTGAGATTTAACTGTGCACTGAAATGTTCTCACTTGCACTTGCCCTCATCTCATTCGGGGTTGGCATCTTTAATGTTCAACAGAAGACCTGAAATCTGTTTTTAGCTCCTTAAGTTCGGTACTGGGTGCCTCAGACATTTTCTATTGTATTCATATTTTGTTATTAGTTTTATCTATTCGATAAAATTATAAACCTCTTGGGGGCTGGGACTCTGCTTTGTATTTCCCTTGTACCCTCCAAAGTTTGTTGCATATACTAGTTAAGTATTGGGTGCCTGGGTGATGTAAATAATCATTAATTAGTCTACTTCTGAGATATTCATTCAGCTTCTGCATAGCTCAGTCACAGGTTGTAATAATGGTCAGGTGTGAAGTTTGAGTTAAATGTTTAATTCAGAAGCTCAAAGCGTTCATGTATGGGATTATTAGCTGGGTATTGTGTTTGGCTTGTGTTTTTTTCATGCATTTTTTTCTTTAGCTAAGAAACCCTTTCTTTAATGGACTCCAATGTGGGAAAGCAATATGTACAACAGATGAAAGGGGAGTTGCCCTGCTTGAAACAGGGGTAGAAGTTGTAGACAGAGCTTGAGCAGCCTCCTGTTCATTGCTTCCTCTTCTCTCCTGCGTCCTTTCCCCAAACATCCTCAAACAAGTGGTCAGTAAATCATTTCCTAGAGTTCATAGGGCTCCTTTGAGTACAGTTTTTAAACCATTTATGTAAAGAAAGTGTCTGACTCTATTATTACATTTGGTTCACCAACTTAAAAAATAGTATTCATTTTCTGTAGTAGGTTTATAGAAAAATTGAGCAGAAAGTAGAGTTTCCATATACTCCCTCTCCCCTTGCCCAAATTTCTCTTTTATTAACACCTGGTATTAGTACATTTATTATAATTGGTGAACCACTTGTTACAATTTAGTTAACCTTATTGTTAATCAAAGTCCCCACTTTATATTAGGATTGATCTGTGTTGTACAGTAGCAGATGTTTTCACAAATGCATAATGACATGTATCTACAATTATAGCATCATACAGAATAGTTTCACTGTCCTAAACATTCCCTCTGCCCCACCTATTCATTCTGGGCTCCAACATTTTTTAAGGTATATTATGTTCATAAGAGGGTGGTGGTTTTATCCCTTCATCACAGTTGGAAAAAACTCCAGGTTTACTTCAAAGAGGTAAATTGGGATTAGAAACTAAGATCATGATCCCCCTCTGATAACTCAGTAGACCATCTATAGCTTTTGTGTTTTGGGAAGAGCTATTATTTATTAGTGGAGCTAAATATCAAAGTAAATGTCACTGGAATGTTGCCATGCTTATTTAGAATATGTTGTGATGTACGAGGTCTGTCTGGAAAAAGCCGGGGCCATTATAAATATAGTAGCATCAATGTAACTTGGCAGCCAAGGAGAAGGACTGGAATGTGTATGTGTGAACAGATTTCACTGTACTAGTCAGTGGGGGCAGTAGACACCATTGAGTGAACATGTGTACTGTGTGGTTGTCACATTCGGAATGAGCATGTAGAGCAACAAATTTTCATCAAATTTTGTGTTAAGCTTGAACATTCCTCTGTGGAAACTATTAGGGTGATTCAGAAGGCCGCAGCTATGGGCAACTCAGTATTGGCAACTTCATCATGACAATTGGTCTGCTCATGTTTCAAATCTGGTGCAGAGTTTTTTGGCAAAACATCAAATCACCCAAGTGACTCAGTTCCCCTGTGGCCCAGATTTGACACCCTGAGACTTTGAGCTTTTTCCAACACTAAAACCACCCTTGAAAGGGAAGAGATTTCAGACCGTGGATGAGATTCAGGAAAATACAACAGGGCAGCTGGTGGCGACTGGGAGAACTATGTGGGGTCCCAGGGGTCTCCTTTGAAGGGGACTGAAGCATCATTGTCCTATGTGTAATGTTTCTTATCTTGTATCTTCTTCAATAAATGTCTCTATTTTTCATATTACATGGCGGGGTACCTCCTCAACAGATCTCACATTTGATTCTAATATGTATTAATATGTGGGCAAAGGTTAATTTTGACTATTTTCATGTCCAGATTCTAGACCTGTCCTTCCAAATACTGATTTGGAAAATATGTTTTTCTTACTTTTGAAGCCTCTCTTTTGACTTTGGTGCATTGTTAATTAAGCATGCAATTTTCAGAACAACGCTGACAATGAATACACAGTATTAATAAATCAACAAGACAAGTAGTTTTCAAAAATCACTTTATGTATACTTAATACCTCACTGACCTTTTCTGCAGTTACTTAAATCTTTTAAAAATTCATTTAATTTCAAAGCCAGAGTATTAGCCTATTTATATGTAAATTATCTTTAATTCATGCATTGATTTAAAAGACTAATCCAAAAGATCTTTTACCGCAAATGACCTTTTTGACTCTACACTAGTGGGAAAACTGTAAAATGGTTTCTTGGTGCCCTTGTATCTACCTGTGGTACAATATGTGCCAACTCTGGCTTGTATAAATCACTCAAAATTGTATAGTTTTCAGCCAGCATTGAATTATTAATGGTATAATTGTTCTAGTTACTATCAGAATTTCCACAGAACCATTTACTGGGATGGGTTTTTTTTTCCTTTTTATTTTCATTTTCAACAAACACATCTAATTAAAAGCTGTACTAAGAAATATTGTCTGTTAGTCAAATGATACAGAATTAGGTGCTTAGAAGTTACTGCCTGCAATAGCCTGGATGTTAAATAAGCTTAAATTTATGTTACTGCCCACCATACAAACAGAACAAATTAACATCAATATTCTGGTATATGTATACATACATATTTTATTCAACTTTTTGTTTTTTTCCTGTTTTTAGTTCACTTTAGGGAATGTCTTAAGTTAGTACTTCGTATCAAGTTATCCTCTGGGGATGCATGCAATTTGGAATTGATTAGTGTTTGTTATTAGTGGGTAAAATACAAATAATTTAGATTTTAATCATTGTAAAACATTTGAAGTATAATTCAATGTGCCATATATGATGCTAAATCATTATTCTTAGGAGAAATACAGGGTTAGGCTCCTAGGAGCCACTGACCATAACATTTTAGTTAACCGAACAAGACATATCTTTGTTTTATGTTGGTTTTTGTTTAAAGACACTTTATTTAATATATACTGTTAATTCATTAACATTAAACTCATGGCCAATAGCACTGTTACTTGTGCCTGAATGAAGCTTGTCAAACACTAGTATTTTCTCCGAAGGGCACAGCAGAGCTTTTTGGCACTTAGGGACATCAGGCAGCACTTCAGTACTACACTTGAGGGCCATTTTAAACAGCAAAATCACCAACAAAAGCACAAGAAATGTGAAAAACATGGTACTAAATGGACCACAAAAAAGACACTGGGACAGGAAGGCAGAGTGTCAGATTTTTGACCTCAGTAGGGAATGTCTGTGTCTGGCAACAAATTTTTTATGATTGTGCACATTCACTAATGGCTTCACAGTGCCATGAGTATTGATTTTGTGGTTACAAATAAACTTTAGTGAGTTGGCAAATTCACAAATACAGAACCCACAAATTATTAGGATCACCTGTACATGTATATATTCACTTATCTATTTCAGGTAAGGCAATGTGCAAGTGTGAGTGATTGTGAGTGATTTCAGGGTAAACAGGCAGACAGATGTTAAATAATTAATTATCGAAATAATTACCTAATTACAGCAGCAGTGCTAGCCGCTCTAGTGGAAGGGTACCAGGTGCTCTTCAAGCATGTAACACAGCGCCCCACCCGGGCTGAAGAGCAAAGGAGGGTTTCCCCGAGGGAGTAACATTTGAGCAGTGCTCAGAGGATGGATAAAGATGCAAGAAAACGGCATGTAATAAGCTGTGCTAGAGATTTTATGCCAATTCACATTTCCTGGTACTTCACTCTTCTCTTTTAGGTAGATTTGGTGCCATTTATATAAATATCTATTTTCCAATATGTGAAAGCCTTTTCCTTTACACCTGCAACAAGATTTCATCCACATAGCCATCACCGGAAGGGACAGCCTGCACTTCATCCCGTGGCTGGGAGCTGTAGCTAGACAGAAGAGTACTTCTCCCTTGCAGGGGAGGGACATGTCTCGAAAATGAGGAGACCTTTCTCTTCCACATCTTCTGTGTTTTCTTCTCC